AACATATTAATACAATACTGTTTAAGTTTACAACAATCTGTTCATATATAAGCAGTGCTTTCTAGTTGCTTCCAAAACAGAAGACTGAGCCCTGAGGCTATTCAAATAACTTAACGGTTTTATTATATTTGAGGAAGAAATTGTAATAGTGCCCGATAAAAATGCATAGCTCTCAGAATTTTTAGTTTGCTTTTGCAGCTTCTTAGTTCCAGTTTCGAGATGATTGGGGAAGGCTTTCAGCCTCTTTGTGAATGACTAAATGAAAGTTGCTAATAGATGTTGGTGTTAGACATCTGTATATTGTACGTTTTAGCATATCTCAAGTGTTTTAGTCCTAGTCTAATAGATCTCATTAAAAAATAGATATCAGCTCCAAGACAGTTTGTCAAAGCTAATATGAGTCCCACAAGACCGAATTGACAATTTGTGTGTGGCTTTTCACGACAGTTCTCTCGTGGTTGTATTTGATCCTTAACAATTGGACATTAGTCTCTGATTTATTTTACAATAACTCAGTGCAGCTGAATATTGTTGTTCCATGTTGGGTGTTTTAGTGGGTTTCCTTTTTATAAAATTTTATCAGAGCACATGGAGAGGGTAAATGATGTACCCTGTCTATTGTGAGAGCACTAACAATTGATTGGGCCAGGTTTAAAAGCAGCAAGGGGGAAGGGCGTTAGTATATATCCCCATGATGCACATCGTATTTAACAGTAGCCTTAATGAGCAGTCAGTCTCAGACACTTTGAGTAATATGAAATGTTACGTGTTCTGTACTTGTTCTCTTTTATTTCAGAAAATTGCATTTCCTGGGTGTGAAGAATAAACTCGCTTCTATAGCCTTGGACTATGAATTAATTTAAGATAATAACTTCACTTTAAATTCCTATAATCTACTTTGACTATAATTTATTGATCTATTTATAATGATTAACAAAAATCTGTGAAATATAAACAATCCGAATATGTCTACCTAAATGTGGCTTTAAAAAAATATTGTCCACCTCCACTTCTGAATATTATTCTTTATTTAGTTATCACATTCACAAGCTGGATATTAATTGTCACTTTTATATGCAATGATGACAAAAAATATCTTGACATACGAAAATGTCATGGCTACTTAACTATAACTTTCCTATATTTATTTATAGATATGGAATCATAAACCGACATACACCTAATAGACTTTTGAGTAAGACCCACTGGTCATTAGGACTTAATTCTGATAATAGTATATATAGGAATTTATACTCAAAGTACTTTGTTATACAAATTTTGTAAGATGAAAAAGAAAAAAAATAACAACACAATTCTGTATGAATGCTGAAAATTTCATGGTTCCCTCATACCCCTCTTATGGATGTTTGTTAAACATAGATGACACTTAAAATTCAGATTATATTTGTGATTTAGGCTAGTTGGCTTTATGACATTTCCGATTAGAATTTGGTGTTAGATGTTAGAATAGAACAAAGCTTTTGTTTTGCATTTTCTACATTTTAAAAACCTTCGCCTTTTCATACCTCTTCTGTTTTTTTTTTTAAAGATGATGTAGATGCAAAATAAATTGTTTTTGGAAAGCAAACAGTAACAAAATAAATCCACATGATTGTCATTGGCTGAGCATTATAGAATTTTATAGCCACAAAGTAGAGTGCTATGGGAACACTCAGGAGGATTCTCATGGTTTTTAACTTATTAAACAATTTTGAAATCATTAATATTTAATTGGATCGGCTGCTTTTTATAGTTTTAATTGTGAGGGTGTTTATGAAGGGTTTTCTTTAATGTTAGAGTACCAACTAGAGCATTGCTTACATAAATAGAAATGGGTTTCATGGTAGCTATATGATCTGGAAGAGTTTGCCCTATATATGTGTGTGTGTGGGGGGGGGGGTTGCTAGGAAGAAAAGGAGAGTGCCTTGATATACTGTGTAGTCATCTATTATAAAGGATGCATGCAGCAATTCACAAACTGAGTTTCTAAATGAAAAAATGATAGAACATGAAGATATGGATAGGCCTTTTCTTGATTGAAAGTTCTAATTAAGTGAATAGAGGAAAATTAACTGAAATTAGCTGTCAGAAAATCACATTTAAATGAGTGATGGGTTGCTCAGGCAGTAAACATTTAAATGATATAAATTGCCATTTAAGTGTATGGTTTAATGTTTGTCATGCATTAACATGACATGAGACTGCAATGACAATCAAGCAGCTTGCTCTAATTTGAACATATTTAGGGCTTTTGTGTAGAGTGCACCACACAAATTAAGACAATTGCTGTTTTTTATGTGTCAATTTAAATGTTTCTTCAGGCATCAGTTAATGAAACTAACCAATCATTTCTGTATGCACACTGCAGAGTGTTTTCTCAGGGTCTGAGTACATTTCCCAATTGAAATTAGGCATATCTTTGAAAAGGAAACCATGCTTCAGTTCTCCAAGTTATAAAAAAAATCCTTCCTCTTCTGTTTTTTTTTTAAGACAATTAAATTTCTCTTAAAAGATCCTTCACCAAATTACTGTATGACATTTGGATTACCATCTAGATTCTGAACATTGTCTATATTTGGAGGACGGCATTTTTCTTTTTTCTTTCCTTTTTTTTACTGTTAAGATGTTTATTGTTGAAATATGCAACTTTTTATTGTTGAAATAATTCTTGATTTTTTTTCTTGCTTGTACGCTCATATAACTCTTGATTATCTATAGAGTTACTGTCTCCAATTTCCTTCCAACCCAAGGTTGTACAGGATCTCTTGAATTCCAATTCAGCATATTATTTTTCTCCTTTTCCTCTTATCTCTTGGACCCTTCTTTGCATATTGTCTCCTTTGATGCCAACTCTTCCTTTTCTCTCCCAATCATGTTAACCACACCGGTTGAAAAAAAAAGGATTTGTAGTGTTTGCATTATAAGTAAAGATAAAGCTTGAGGAAGAGGGGAACTGAGTAGAATCAATATGGTTAGCTGAGAGATTTGGATAGGGAAGGGCATTTTTCTTGTTGGTATTATTTGACCATTTTCTTTCTGTCCTGCATAGTATCTGCTGATTAATTGAGCTTGCAGAATGGACAGTTTAAATCAGGAGATACAAAGGCTTCCTGATTAAACAAATAAGCAGTTCCATATGAATTAAAAAATGGAGTTACCTTAAAAAAATAAAGAGGAAATTCTAGTAGACAGTAGCCTCAGGACTATCACCAAGATCTTTGGTGTTTGCAATGGAGGGGAAAAGGACATCTTCCTTATCCCATACAAAGAAACCAACGTGAAGGGAAGTTGAAGCTTACCTTAGTGGCAGCAATGGACTTTCATCTTCTTCAACAGCAGGATAGCTTGAGAAGTGATCGGGCCACATGGCACATAGAACTCTATGCAATTCTTTGAACAATCTCTATCCCATCTCCTATGAAGCCCCCAATGGCGCAATGGGTCAAACTCTTGTGCTGGTAGGACTGCTGACCGAAAGTTCGGAAGTTCGAATCCGGGGAGTAGGGGGAACTCCCATCTGTCAGCTCCAGTTTCCCATACGGGGACATGAGAGAAGCCTCCCACAGGATGGTAAAACATCCAGACGTCCCATAGGCAACATCCTTGCAGATGGCCAATTCTCTCACAACCGCATTGAGTCGCCTAATTAGGCTGAAAAATGCGGTATAGAAATAAAGCAAATAAATAAATAAATAAATATTGACTTTATTCTGTCTACTTATTCTGCAAAAGATTACTAGATAGAGTGAACCACATTACCAGGTGTCTAAAACACATCAGATTGTCTCCTAGGGCACATGACACTTATGCTTTAAGCTCATGTATTCAGTGGTTGCTTTTTTCCATATGAAGGTTTGTAGTCTTTGGATTGTAGTTGAATGTACTTTCTTTCTCTATTCTAGCTGTGTGTATGTTTGTGGTTACAGATATAGGCTCGCAAGTAGAAGGAGTGCATTGCCTTTACATAGAATGTAGATTGGGTTGGGCAAAATGAGTTTTTGTGGAGTTTTTTTTTATGACCCTCAACATTTCCAGAAGCCCTGGACCAACTTTTTCTTTATCAAAAAGGCCAGGTGAGTTGTTTTTCCTTGAAGTCTTCTGGAGCAACAACTTGCCTTTTAAATAGGATGCAAGATTGTTTAACAGATCACTAAAAATACCCATTGTTGAGAACTAGTGACTTTTTGCGGGGCAGGGGGTTGTTTCATTTTTCAATAGTCCACATAGTCCCCAGAGGTTCCTTTTGATATAGACCAAGGAAAATACCTTTGATAGACTTAATCCGTGCAGTACATAAGTCCAGGTTGTCCAGTTATAAAATAACAAATAAACAAATAATGGGGACCAACAATGAGTTGTAAACACATGAATGGTGGCAGAACTACTGCTGTTTTATGTTCTTACAATCTGGTCCCTTGCTAACTGGTAGAGCATATGGGGAAAATGGAAAACAGAAATGAAGGAGATTGGAAGCAGTAGTGCCCCACCTTCATCTTTGGTGTAAATTGCCCATTATCATTAGCAAATTTTGCTGTGTGATTTAATCAGGCATGCTAAATAGAGTGTCCACTGTTTCTTTAAGGAGATCCCTGTCTTCCACTTCCCAACCCAATCTCTCTCTCATACAAGGACAAACTCTGTTGCTGGGAGACATATAAAATCCTGCTATGTTATTAAACCCAATCTGCTGTATAGTCGTGGTTTCAGTCTACTGACTGTCAATATGCTGTAATTACTTACTACTTTTAAACTGTTTTAAATTGTTATGTATTACTTTTATGTTATATTAGATATGTTTTAATGCAAACTGCTTAGAGGTATAATTACATTAAGTAGCACACAAATACCATATATAACAGATTTGCAGAAACTGAACAATGTTTTTAGTTTTGTGAATTTTTTTCTGTAAAGCAATTATAGCTTTGTAATATCATTGTTGCCTAAGTATGTCATGAAGTAACTTTAGGGGAATGTATTAATGGTATTCTCATTTGTTTCAGGCCTTGGAGAGTGAATTTGTTTCTTGCCAGCTTCACCAGTGGATTGATCTGATTTTTGGCTACAAACAACAAGGGCCTGAGGCTGTCAGATCCCTAAATGTATTCTACTATTTAACTTATGAAGGAGCTGTCAATCTTAATTCCATAACGGATTCTGTTTTGCGAGAGGTAAGACTCTTAATATCTGGGAAGCAAAATCTCACAAATGTATCTGCCTTTCATAATGTTTTTCTGCTGATGATGCTATTTTCACGTTAAGTTACTCATTTCTGGTTCTTTGAGAGGGGGTTTTCCCTACCCAACTGCTGTCAGAGCAAAACACAGGAATACAATTATTTGCCCCAGTACTTTCAGCACATACTTCTTAATTCTTCACAATGCAGGTCTTCCTTGGAAGTTACTAGTAAGATAATATTCTTGTGCATTCTACTTCACTCTCATCATTTTCTCTGACTTTTTATGGTTACTAAGCTAGGCAACCACTGTAACATGATATAGTTTTCAGGATCCAGTACTACTTCAGTTGCTTTTTCTGCCCACAAGGAGACCTTAACATTGCTTTATAAAAATGCAATTGTTATGGCATATAGTCCCATGTGGCAATTGTGTCTAGTATTGTTCATGCACCATACTAGCAGTCACACTGTTTCTAGTGTTGCACATTGCTGGCAAGAAAAGACAGACCGAATTGTCCAGCTGTGAACAGCCTATCTTGCCAGTGCCTTCCTTCCTTTGTAACCACATGCCTGCTGTCTTTTTCCTCTGGCCACCCTCACCTATTAGCTTTTTGAATTATAATTGTGGAGAGAAAGGGCAGGATAGAAATAAAGATAACAATAGCAACAGCAATAACAACAAGTAGAGTTATACTGATGTAAGGCACTAGTAACACTTTGCCTTCTATGTGCGAACTACTACCCTTCTCTCATTGTATGTTTAATGTTTCCCATACTTGACTTAGGATGGTGGAAGGAATAGTTTTGCTGGCTTCCTAAGGGTGGAGCCAGTGTGGTTGCTATCCTGAAACCATGTACCAGGAGTGTAGAATGAGATCCTGTGGCTAGAAGCCCATTAAGAGCAGCTCAGCCTCTTACTCCTCCTCTTTGGATCTTGTTGGCCCATCCTTCTGTCTCTTTCCACAGTGTAAGTTTTGCTGGTCACTTTATGACTAGGTAGGATTTGTTTCTTCTTTATTAAGGTTTTCCCCCCACCTACCCTCAACTTTTAATTTGGAGGACTTGAAAAATTGCCATGGAGAGGTGTCTTAAATAACGTAGCCTTTCCCTGCTGATTTGGTTGGCAATGTGAGTCATTAAGCATCTTCTAGCACATTGGTAAAGGATGGGAATTTGGGACTACCCCAGAATATTTTGTCATCAAGGGAATAGGGATAAATTTCCAGTCCTTCGAACCGATCTTTGGGTTCTTGCCTTTGCTGGGGGGTGGAGATGTCACGTAGCTTGAGGCCTTACATCCTTTGATCAGCCTTCCAGATTATGTATCTGGTGTGGGAGCAACCCTGGTTTGCAGGAATCCTCCCAGGGATTAAAGTGTTCTGGGTGTGTGGTCTGGGTGTAGACATACCAATCCTACCACTCTCAAACCACTTGTCTCCCTCTATTTAGCCTTGCATATCAACAATAAACTTTAAATAGGTAACAATAAAGTTGCCCTTATTAAGCCATGCTGGCATCTGTTTTTTCCCCATTTGATGGGATAGCAAAGGGCTGTTGAGAGCACAATTTTTTTAATCATGCTAGAAAAACTATGAGTATAATTCCTGGAGAACTGCTAGCGCAAGCTCTAAACGTCTAAGAAAAATACCACTGTACATTCATTAAAATATTCTCAGAGCTTTCTTCTTAGATGGTGGTCCTGGAAACACTCTTCTCATAACTTTTCTTTCTTTATTTCTAATTTTATGAAATGCTTTGTAAAAAAAAGTGATTTGATATTTGAACAAGAATTCTGAATTGTGTCCTTTGTTTTTATACTGTTACAGATAAAATTATGAAGTAGCTTAGTGAAGGTGATTATACTGAGGGTGAACATAAGAGCCATCTGTAAAAAGGGTTCTTATTAAGTAGTTTTCAGAGTGCCTGCCAAATTTCACATCGTAGATTTTCAGGGAACTGCCTACAGTGTTTCATGATTGGTGCAGTTTTCTTTCAGATCATTAAAAGACCTTATCGCCTTTTTCACATGTGTTTGTGAACATCTAACAAACACCTTGTCATGATTTAAAGCAATCAGAAGTTTATCAGTGCAAGGCTATTTATACAGTCTGTAATATCAGGTACATATTAACTTCAGTGTGGAACAAACCATTTTACTAAATGGAAGAACATCCAAAAGTACTGTAACTATTTTGAAAGTGGTAGCTGTCACGTTTCTGTGCTATGGTTCCACTCATTGCTTCCTTCAGAATACCCAGTCACAAACCACTTTGTGCCCTGTTATTAACACATGACACATCTTAACCACTTATTCAGAAGCACAACAGTGTAGCTGTGCAGAATAAATTATCTTATATTTTCAGTGACTCATGCTTATGCTTCTCATTGTTTGAGCTCTGAATCTCAGGGTATGTCTACATTGTAGAATGAATGCCAATTGACACCTCTTTAACTGCCATGGATCTGTTAGATGGAACTATGGATGATGTAGTTTTGTGAGGAACCAGTCTAAAGACTATAAAACTGTAACTCCCATGATTCCATAACACTGAGCCATGGCAGTTAAAGTGGTATGAAACTGTATTCATTTTACAGTGTAGACACACCCTTTGATACTGTACCACGTTTTGTCTTGAAACACAGTGTTAAGAACCATGACTCTGTCTGTAGTTTTAACAAGCAAAAACAAACTAAAATTTAATTTATTTTAAGATTTTTCAGATAACATGTTGTTTTTCTATGGCAAAATGTGAGATATGTGAGATATGTAGAAGATATACATACCCTACTGAAGGCATAATTAGACATTTCAGAACTATGTAGATGCTGCTGATTCACATGCCCTTGATAATGTCAAGCTTTTTTTAAAAAAAATACATTAGGTCATCACACCAAATGTTTCCCACCCCTTTCAAGCAGCAGGTAATTGGAAACAAGCAGGGGAATGTTAAATGTATTGATATCTCATCATGAGTTTCTTTTCCTTGTTTTTGTTGGGTAGATATGGGCTGACAGCATACCTCTTACAATGCCTACTTAGGCTGTTAGATAACAAAGATGTAAAGATTGTGGATGTGCCTGAATGTTTTAATTATAAAAAGCAGAATTCTGCTTTTGTCTTTTTCACAAAGAAGTCTTGAATACGTAATAAAGCCCGCAACCAGAGTTATTTTTTGCTGTGATAATTTCCCAGATATTTAACACATGTGGCAGACTAGCATCAGTGTGATTTCTGAATAAAGGGATTTTATTACCTACTTTACTATTTCCATTATGTAATCAGCATAACAGCCTGAGCACATTAAACTTTTATGTAGTTTTTAATTGTTCCAAAACAGCTGTATTACCAATAAAATTGAGAGGCAAGCTCACTTATGCTTTGGCCACAGACAAGTGTTCATTAGTGGAAAAGAAGGGAGGAGATATAAGTTGAATAGAGATGTCATCCTTCTGTTGGTCCTCTATGGTCTATACTGCTGCATCCACCTACCTACCTGTACAAGAGCATTTACTCCCTTGGATTTAAACCCCCCCCCCCCCTCCAGATTTTGGAGTACAGATCAAGAGCAGGGGGAAAAGGAGAAATGGAATGATGGGCATTATAAGAAGAAGATTTTAATTACATTACAAATACCATCTTGCAATTAGTTCCATACGTATTCCATACATATTTGCTTTAGCTGTCATACTTGTTTACATATGCACCATAATAGCAGTACTTTTCATTTTTCAATTTTCAAACATCTTTGACTATACAGATGACAAAGAAAACATTATTGTTACATTAATAATCATGAAAGTCTCTGTGTTTGTAGGCATCAGTATATTCTGAAAACAGATACAGATGAAAGTATGTGTTCTAGAATGGCATGTATTGAGTTAGGATTTGAAGACTAGTGGTTATGGTTCAGATATTTGTCTTTATGAATGCCAAAAACAGTTTTGCAAAGGGAAGGGGGACAGCCAGCATAATGTCATAGTTTGAGTGTTGCACTCTGGGAGAGTCCTCTGCAAAACTAAGGTTCACATTCTTTCTTGGCCATGAAAACCCATTGGGCACTTTTGGGTAATCACTGTTTTTCAACCTCAGAAGAAGGGAATGCAAACCCTCTCTGAACAAATTTGCTAAGAAAACCCCATGATAGGATTGCCTTAGGGTCTCTGTAAGTTGGAAATTACCTGAAGACACATACACAAGGGAAAAGTTATAGAAAAGGCAGAGAAATAGGCTGGGATGAGGATATTTGGAGGATGACTCTGTCAACAGTGATCATTGCATCTGGCACAACATTTAGGTGGATTCCTTAGAACTTCCAATTATAACCAAGTGATCTATCTCCACCAAATGCACTGGGTGAGGGATGATAAAAGAAAAAGACTGTGCAGTAAAGACCATACAATTGTGGTAGCATCGCTTCAAAAGAACTCTGATAGGAACAAATCCTAGTTCGGGGGTGGGAGGGGTGTGTGGAAAGGATATAAATGAACCTAGGAGGTGGTAAAGCAAAAATAGAAGAGATACCAGCTATAAAGACAAAACCAGACCTATTCCCACCTTAAAGGAAGATGCCATAGCAAGACTTGTGCTGCCCAGCAGTACTTAGATCCAGCACTTTCCCCCCATTTGTTAATTGTTTGTCAACATATAGATATCATCCACTTCCTTTGAAAAATGTAAAAACCCCAAGATCCCAGTGCATATAAGACCTCAGTGCTGAGAAGAGAGGACAAAACATGACTGTTGTGATAAGATTTACTCTTTGTGTAATAATGTCAGCTCCTCCATTTTAACCTTTCTGAGAAACACGTCCACAAATAAGTTCTAATGTTATTTCTGTTAGACCAGAAGATCTGGGCAAGGGGGTAAACATACGGTATAATTCCTATAATTGAGAGGTCTACCTTGCTCACCAATTATTCATGTGAAAAGTGCCATCACTTCTTGGTAAAAACTAATTAATTCGTGACAAATTAAGAAAGAGAGAAGAACTG